ACGTGAATGCTACACATCAAGGAAGAGGGAACTATCGCACAAGAAAGAAACGAGCAGGCTCAAATCTTACATGTCTACCTATATGCTCTATCTCTCATTCTGATCCCCTGAACTAGATGCATAAACGACTGTCAAGAAAAAGTGATCCATCCAAGTCACAGTTGGTAAGCAAACAGTTGAAAAACTGACCCCTACACAACTCTACTACACATCTCAGTCATCATTATAGGTTGTCCTAGTCACCATCCAGTTGTCATGCATTAATCCGAAAACAATTCAATTCACCAATCAAAACACAGTGCCAATATGATCAAACAGCCGTACTTGGAGCCCTCAAATCTCGAGATTTGGAAAGCGAACTAGGCTCCAAGCACACGTATATAGATTCCAACCGATACAAAGCACCCCCCCCCCCCCCCCCCCCCCCCCCACACACACACACTTAAGCACGACATTCCCCTCAATGGAGCATAGGGAGAGATAAAGGGAATGATGTTACCGGATTGAAATACTGCGGGAGACTGGAAGTGGACCAGTCAGCGGGGAACATATGGAACGAACGGGTAGTTCTGCACGAAGGAAATAACAAGAACACACTAGCACACTGTGCGTTAGGGATCAAAGTTGGCCCAGATGGCCACACAAAAGAAAATTCACAAAAGAAAACCAAAAGTACAAAAACCAACGACAGACTCAGTTCAAGCTCCTCAAACACATGGAGCAAACATAAAAAGTCTAAAACAAAAAAAACACACTCTGAGGGGCGACGAGTATAGCCTACTCGTCGCCAAGGTTGTCGAGGTCGATGTCGTTCATGAAGGCGTCATCGTCGCCGACCGGGGGTGGTAGGGGAGAGTCCTCCCAAGGAGTCCTCCAGACTGGCTGCTCGCCCGGTATCAGTTGGAGCAGGTGCTGCTGGACCTCCTCCATACGCCGAGAGCATGCCTTCTCCCGCTCGATGTGGGCCAGAGTCACCCCCTGCTGGGTCTCCATGCGGTCCATGCGCTCATTATATGCCGCCATCCGGGTATGATACTCGGCCTGGTGAGCCGAGTACTGCTGCAGGAAATGGAGCTGATGGTTGATGATCTGCTGATTCTGGATGCTCAGCTGCTGGAACTGGTGGGCGAAGTAGTCCTGCGATGGAAAGGTGGAACTGCTACCCCCATACTCGAAGGTGGTTGGGCGGGCAGCAGCAGTATCATCCACATCCTCGGGGTGGACATCCTCATCAGCCTCGTCCTCAGGAGCATCTGGCTGGTCCTCCGCTGGGATCTGAGGTTGAGGAAACCCCTCGATCCACTTGACGCCCCGATCCACTCGCAGCAGGTGCATACTCTTGACCGTGTCCTCGCTGAAAGTACTAGTGCCCCCCTGCTCCGTGCACCCCTGCAAGGAAATCTGGAAGTAGGTGGCCAGGCAGGTGATGAGGGGAGCGCAGTGGAGGCTCTTCAGTTCCGAAGCAGTATTGGCAAAGGTTCTGGCTACCACAGAACCCAGGTGGAGAAGGTGGTCCTCCTGGCGCATGGACTGGATGAAATACAGCGCTCTCCTGGTGATGGTGCTGGAACTCTCCCCGGCTGGAGTGTAGGACTTCGCCAGTAAGTGGTGGAGAATGCGGTTATCGAGCTGCAGGGTGCTGACCTTCGTCCGCCCTGCAACGAAGGGACGCTGGCCGGGCTGAGGGAGGCGGGCGTACAGTGTCTTGAAGTTCACCCCCACCGGATCTCTGAGCTTGGTGACGTATTCCCTGTCATCATCCAGGCCGAGCTCGAGAGCGGTCGCCAAGTCGTCATAGCTCATGGAGCGGGGCGCACCGCCGAGACGGAACTTGACGACTTCATCGTCTGCCCAATCCTCCGTCTCCTCGTGCTTGAAGGTCGTATAGAACTCCAGCACGAGCTCGTGGTAAACTATCTCGCTAATGGATAACAGACGGCGCCAAGGGCGGTTGGTGACAATGGCGGAGAAGTGGTCGTAGCAGTTCAGCTTCTCAAACTCCCGCCTGGACCAGCAATGATGCTGCCCAAACGGGCAGGCCAGGACGCGCTTAAAACGATCCTGGTGGGGGGCCCTCTTCAAATCATTGACAAACGGGTGCTTGAGGTCGGGTTTCTTCATGGTCCTGCAAAAGAACAACCCAAAGTGGAGCCAAAAGAGCCATAGAAAAGGTTAATCACACCCCCACACTTGAGAATAGAAACAGAAAACAGCCGAACCATGGTTTCATCCATAGTTCGGGGGTCAATAACTTGATCAAACAAGCATAATCTGGGTAGGGGTGCACATCCATGATAAAGTAGGTAACTTAAGCTTCACATCCATAGTAAATACACCCTCAAAGCACATCATTAAGGGCCCCAACTAGGTCCCACAAAATGGTATTAAAAACAGGCATTTCATCGAACACCTTGTGTGCATTATTAAGTTAAGCATAAAATTGACAAATTCATAGCACACAAGGGCTCAATCAAGCATGGGGAACATTTCCCAACATCATTCACACATAAACCAAGCCTTCCCTCAATCAATGGCACACAATTCACACAATACAAAGTTGTTCTCTAAACATACACCCTAACACCCAATTCTCCACAATTCAGAAGGTTAAGGGCAAAATCAAACCTGGAGACACAAGTAGAGGTGTAGGGGATGATGAGGGGAAGGCAATGGAAGCGACGAAAATCCCAAAATCTGCCCGGAAATTGCTCTTCGAAGACTCGCTGGAGTCTCGCCGGAAATCGCCTCCGGTGACCCAAAATCGGTCCAAATCGCCTCAAAATCGAGGGATAGGACGAAAAGGATGAGGGAAGAGTGGGTTGGGTGGTGGTTTGGTGAAAAACCGACCAAAAATGTCCGAAAATCGCCCAAAAAGGTGGAAAGTTGCGGTTTTTCGGCAAGGGGGAGAGAATTCCGGCGAGGGGAGGTTGGTTTTCTAACCACGCGGCCGTGTCGGCCAAATATATAGGCTCTGGTTCGGCCACACGGGCAATCTCACACGGCCGTGTGAGGTGCAACAGTGCTCGTGTGGGCCGACATGGCCTGGCGGAGGATTACCACACGGCCGTGAGAATTGCAAAACTGGCCGTGTGGAAATTGTCGAGCCTTCACACGGCCGAGGGCCAAAACCACACGGCCGTGTGAGGGACCCCTCCTGCCCGTGTGAATTTTCCAGGGCCTCCACACGGCCAAAACCCAATTCCACACGGCCGTGTGAGTTGTAGGGCTGGCCTTCAAGAGCGGATCCACATCGCTCTTGAGGTACAACTTCAGGTGGTGGCCATGCACACGGCAGGTGTGCCCACCAGCACTCATCAGCTCGACCTGGCCATCCGGCAGGATGCAAGCGAGTGAATACTCGGATGGCCAAGGTGGTCGAGGCTCAGAAAGAGGGACCCGCTCATAGTGGTTTTCGGCTTTCTTGTGAGCAGGCTGAGCTACCGGCAGCTTCGGCCGCCACTCCTCCCTGATCTTTTCCTTTGGTAACGGCGTGGACGGGAATGGCGGCGAAGGTATGGGAGGGAAATCCTGCAAAATAGGAAGCATAGACGGATACACGACAGACTCGTGCTCCCGGTGAGAAACAACATGCAATGTTGATGAAGCAGGAAGAGTATTAGCAATGGAAAACGTTATTTGCTCCTCGCCATCCCTCAAGACTAAAGTCCCGTCATGCACATCTATAAGGGCCTTGCCGGTGGCCAGGAAAGGCCTTCCGAGTGTAAGGGGCACTTCTGTATCGTCATTGATGTCCAGGACAACAAAATCCACAGGATAAAAGAATCTCCCCACCTTAACCAGAAGGTCTTCCACTATGCCCCTAGGATGAATTATAGATCGGTCAGCTAATTGAACACTCATCCTTGTTGCATTGGGTTCACCTAGGCCTAGTTTATTGAACAATTTATACGGTATCACATTAATACTAGCACCTAGATCCGCCAAGGACCTCTCGACATGCAATTTACCTATAGAGCATAGGATAGTGAAACTACCTGGGTCCTTCTGCTTCTGCAGAAGCTTGTTTTGCAGAATGGTCAAGCACTCCTCACTAAGCTCCACAGTGGCCAGCTCGCTTAGCCTCCGCTTCTTCGAGAGAAGCTCCTTCAGGAACTTTCATACTTAGGCATTTGAGATAGTGCATGAAGCGTATTTGAACATGTAGCTTCCTAAGCATGGACGAGAAGTTGCCAAACTCTGCCTCTAGCCTGTCTTTGTGAATCCTGGTGGGAAAAGGGAGCTTAGGCTTATATTCAACCACTACAGGTTGTGTCTTTGGAGCTTGATCCTCTGGCTCCTTTTCCATCACCAGGTCTTCTTCCGGCTCAGGGGTGATCTGGGTCACCTTCTTGGCACTCTTCTGCGGTGCATCCGTAGTCACAGTCCCACTTCGCAGCATAATGGCGTGCAAACTGCAACCCCTCCTTATGATTTCTAGGATTCGGTAAGGGTTGGCCAGGAAGTGAGCCAGTCGGTATGGAAGCTAGGGCATCTGCCAGGTGCCCGATCTTGGTGTCCATATCCTACAGGAGTGCCTGCTGGTTTCTCTGGCCAGCTTCAATCTCCATGAATTTACATGCAGCCACTTCCATGAATTTCTCCAATTTGTTGAACTTTTGGGTACTAGTGCTCGCCAAGGTAGTCACTAGATCCCTAAGTTCTGACACGGGATCGCTCGGTGCTGGGACTGATAGAGGTGCACCAGGTTGTTCGTACTGCTGCTGTGGGGGCTGTTGAAAAGCATGCCCCTGTTTGGGCTGATAGAGTGGTTGTTGTTGCTGCATCTAGGCCGACCGAGGCTGGTATGGCTGCCTCTGGTTTGGGAAACTAGATGCAGGAGCCTGGAAGCCAGGTGGCTTTGGATTGTTGTTGCCACTACAGGAAAAGTTTGGATGCTGGCGCCATCCCTCATTATAGGTGTTACTGTAGGGGTCGTTGCGCCGGACATTGTTAATGAAGTTCACCTGCTCCTAGGGTGTAGTGGACTCACGCATCGCCTGGCAGTCTTCCACAGTGTATTGGGTGCTCTCGCACCACTAGCATTGCATCGCCTGGTGCTGTCCTGTATCTGAAATCATCCTAGAGCGGTCGATGGCTGAAACCAGCTTCGACACCACCTGCACCAAATCAGATGACTAGGTGGCTACAGCATGCACACCCCGCGCGGGTGTTCGTCTCGATCGCCTCGCAGTTCCCCAGTCATAGCCCTGCTCTGCCATCTCTTCAAAGAGTTGATTCAGCTGTGGCGGTGTTTTGGTGAGCATATTCCCGCCACAGACCAAGTCAATCAGCTGTTTGTCTTTCGGGAAGAGGGCATGGTAGAAGGTGCCCACCTTGAAGGCGTCGGTAAAACCATGGTTGGGACACTTAAGGAAGAGACTAGTGTATCTCTCCCAAGCATCCCAGATGGTCTCATCTTCATCCTGAGCAAAGTGGGTAATTTGCTTTTGTAGGGCGGCCGTCTTGGACGGGGGATGGTAGCGAGTGAGGAACTTGTCCGCCAGATTGGCGAACGTGGTGATAGAGCCTGGAGGTCGAGTGTCTAGACACTCTTTGGCCTGCCCCTCCAGGGTAAATGGGAAGTACCTCAGCTGGATGGTGTCGGCTGGGACCCCATTTATCTTGATTCCATCGATGAGCTCGTGAAATTGCCTCAGATGTGATCGGGGACACTCCCCCTCTTTGCCACGGAATACCACCGAGCCGCGCAGCATGGTGATGACAGAAGTGCTCACCTCAAAATTATTCGCTGGCACATGAGGGTGTTGAATGGGAGACCTCATGTCCGCGGCCCTAGCGGTCCAGTAGTATCCCATGGTCTGCTCCTTAGGAAGGACCACATCATGGTACTGTGGATCACCCATCTCTTCTTCGTTGGCGATTTGCAGCTGTGCTAGCACCTCCTCCGCAGCCAGTCGCGCCTTTAGAGCCCGCTTGAAGTTCCTGCAGGTTCGTTCAAGCTCCTGGTCTAATGGTAGTAGATCTCCCGACTGGCTACGGGTCATGCACTACCTGCACACAATCAGCAGAAGCAACCCGTGAAGGCACACAGGTGGAAGAGATAAAATGAAATAAAGAAAAAGCTAGAGTAACAAATTTTCACGTTTCCCCAATAACCTAGAGGGTCCCCGACAACGGCGCCAAAACCTTGACACGCTACGACACAACACCAAACTGCGACCAAGTGTAATCGCAATCCGGAAATGCAGAATAGTGGCAAGTTCTAATTATCAACCCGGGGTCTAGATCTACTGCCTACTCCGTGATTATCTATTATCTAGCCAACTAAGTCGATTGATTGTGGTTTTAACTAAAAGCAGTAAGAAAGCAGGAAATGATTCGGTGTTCTAAAGCAAAGGCAGAGTCACTCCGGAATGAATCCCCCTAACTCCTTAGTTAGGTCTCAGTTGTAATTACCCTGGGTTGATTTACTGTTGATTAAACTGCGGAAGATCCGACAGTAGCTTGGAATCTCTTAAGCTGACCAAGCCCTCTCAAACTAACTACCCGGCAGACGACTAGTCTTCACCGAGATAGAAAGCTGAGGCAATAAGCACAGAACTCCACTACTGGAATTGGATTCCTGTACAAAGCAGTAGACTGACTAACTCTCGTATAACCAATCTACTACTACCGAACGATGAAGCTCTAACAACCTAATCAGATTCTATCTATCTCAGGTTGCAGCGGAAATCAAGAAAAGCTGATCAGACTTCAATCAATTCAATGAATCATGCATCATTCGATTATAACCAAACAGTATAACAATCCCAAGTCATTACAATCATGATCCTAACACATGGAACTAGGGTTCTTCATACCCAAGTGAGAGAAGGGTCTACTCCATAGAGAGAGAGAGAGAGAGAGAGAAAAACATAATACAAAGCAGTCATGCTAATAACAATGGGAAGAATCTGCTCTGGGATGATGATTTTCACTCCTATGATGATCTCCAAGCTCGATTTGATGAAACACAGCTCCAAGATCGCTTCTAGGGTGTGTTCTTTACACTTTCTCTCTCTAGGGCTCTGTTTTTGCTCTGAAAAGTCGATCCCCTCACTTGTGGCTCGAAATTGGGGTAAAACCAGAATTCCCGACTCACACGGGCAGGACACACAGCCATGTGGCTTACCAAGCTGCCCGTGTGAGTGTCAAAACGGGGCATTTCGAATAAATAGACTTCAGGCTACCTACACGGCCAGGGACACACGGCCGTGTGGAATCTCCAGTTTGCCCGTGTGAAGCCTCGCTAAATCCCACACGGCCACATTGGTTCCTTACACGGCCGTGTGGGTTTTATGAGTACCCGTGTGGCTTCCTCAGCGTCTCGCCACATGTCCGATCTTCTTCCAATCAACCCCGAACTCGCTCCCAAACCTTCATTCACGTACTAGGACCTGAAATATCACAAACAAGAACAACCTAGCGTGAAATCAGCCTGAAACACGAGTATCAACATCTCAAACGGCTCAAGAATGGGGGTAAAAACATGTGCAATTAACGGTCTATCACCCTACAAGCGCTAGTTTAATGTCACTAGCTCGACGTTGCGGATCTATCATGCTTGAGGGAATGAAGCCACCGAGAGTGGATCTGCCACGGCATCGTAGGCGAGGCTTGTCCCCTCATACATTTACGTCCATAGGGTGGCCTTCTTGGCATGGCACTTTCTCTTTACCCTTATCTTTCGGTCGGGAGTAAGCTCGGTTAAGCCTATCCCTCTATGCTCTCCTCTTCTTTCCCCTGGCTTAGTACCTGCACTGGTTTCTTGCACCTCATCATCAAGTGGAACACAAACACTAGTGGGGTTTTCCTTGAGAGGCTCACCTCCACTTCCAATCATACCACTCGAGTCCATTTCTTTCACCACATCATTCTTAACCTTAGGATCAATTGAAGGAGTGAGTTACTCCTCTCCATCTCTCAAAACCAGAGTTCCCTCATTAACATCGATTAAGGCCTTGGCGGTGGCAAGGAAGGGGCGTCCTAGTATGAGTGGCATATCCGCATCTTCACTGATATCAAGGATAAGAAAATCCGTCGGATAATAGAAATTTCCAACTCTCACTAGGACGTCCTCCACAATACCCCTAGGACTAATGACAGAACGATCGGCCAATGTGACACTAAGCCTAGTGGGATTTAATTCATCCAAATTCAACTTCCTAAAAAGCTTTTAAGGCATCACATTAATGCTTTCACCTATGTCCACCAAGGAGTTTTCTATATGATTATTTCCAATGCAAAGGGGTATAGTAAAATTACCTGGATCCGGTTGCTTTTTAGGCAACTTGTTGAGGATAAAGGCGGAGCACTCCTCGTCTTAGGTAACATTGGCGAGGTCTTCATATTTTGACTTCTTGGCAAGAAGCCCCTTGAGGTATTTGGCATACCTCGGCATGTGCACCATGGCCTCCAAGAATGGAATGGTGATGTGGAGCTTTCTGAGCATCTCCATGAATCCACCATATTCCGCCTCCAATCGGTCCTTGTGCATCCTTGTGGGGAAAGGAAGAGGAGGCTTGTACTCAACCACTTGTGGTGGCGTCGGCAATGCCTTCTTAGGCTCTTCTTTCGTTTCTCTCACTTCTTCGTGATCATTGGCCGTTGGAGGAGTCTTCTCTTCTTCTGTCACATCCTTAGGAACAACCTCTGGGGTAACCTTCCTCAAAAGAATAGCATTGCAACCGACATTTTGATCTTTGGGGTTGACAATAGTTTGAGAGATTAGAGCTCTCCTTGGTCTCTCGGTGAGGATCTCGACGAGATTACCAATTTGTACTTCCAAGTTTTGAAGGCTTGTTTGATGGGCTCCTTAATCCATAAATTGCTCAATCTTCTCAAACTTTTGGGTGCTCGTTCTCAGGAAGGTGGTCACAAGGTCTTCAAATTTTGCAAACTTATCGGGTTGTTGGAATTCTTGACCACCTTGAGCTTAAAACGTTTGTTGGAAGTTAGAGCCTTGGAATTGTGGCCTTCGTTGATGAAAGTAGGCCTTGTTTGATAATTTCCCATCGGTCCTTGGAAACCGGGGGTCTTGGGTTGGTAGGAGAAAACCAAGATAAATTGGGCTGATTTCGCCACCCCGGGTTGTAAGTGTTGCTATAGGGGTTGTTCCACCTAGCATTGGCAATGAAACTCACTTGCTCCGCGGGGGTTCTTGATTCCTTCATCATTTGACAATCCGAAATAACATGGTTGGTACTTGAAAACCAATCACACGCCATTACCGGCCTCTTCCCATGATTCCTTCTTGTCACCATGATCCAAAACAATGCCCTATTTCATGGGCTTAGCAATGAGTCTCCAAGGGAGCATGTTCAGAAGTTCATCGAACTTGCGGGGAGTTTGAAGATCAAAGGGGCATGTTCAGAAGTTCATCAACACCTTTGGTACCTGAACACCAATCACACGCCATTACGCCCGTGAACTGACTTGAGTATAGTGAAAAATGCTATGGATGCCTGGAGTTTCACAGCTAGCGGCTCCAGTTCACGGTCTTAGTGACCGTGAACTCACAGCTCCCACCGTGATATATTGCTGCTTCCGCCCTTTGACTTGATTTTTCACTTTTTCGGCCAACTTTAGACTCCGGGGTTTGTTTCACCTGCCATAGTCTGAAAAACACTAAACGAGGCAAAACCGGGCGTAAAACCAAACCTCTCGGAGTAAAAATGTCTCAAATGACTAAGGAAACGTGGTAAAAAGTGTACAAATGAGCCCGAATCAAGCAATCTAATACATTGATGTCATTCAATGTACCTAGAAGACCACAAAAAGCATGTCATATCCATAGATCTTGTGAAGCTACAGCTTTGAGCATAATGGTAGGAGTTTTATGATCTCCTCTAGCATATTATCCTTACCATGCCACTGGACAATTTTTTTATTCCCATTGCATACAGCCTATACTACCTTGTATACCTGGAAAACCTCATTGTTGGCCTACATGAAGCAATATTTCGATATCTTCAGAAGTTGGCCTCCTCAAGTATTCATCTTCGAAATTGGCAATGATAGCTTTCACAAATCTTTATACACATTTTGTTGTAGTTGTCTCCCCGGTATGCAAATACAATCAATATTGTCCACCACACCATATGCTATCATGCACATTGTTGCATTACACTTTTGAATGTGTGATAGACTTGCTCTGTAGATGGCATCAACACTGTTTTGGAAGTAAGGATCATGACTCATGACACCTTCAACCATACGAAGAAACAAATGTCTCTGCATTCGAAATCTATGCCAAAACTTATCACAAGTATTTGTGGGAGTCTCTGAAAAGTAGTCTTCGTATAAGCGTTGATGGTTCGTTAGGGCCTCAATCTGTTTACTCCGGTGGAGGTTAGTCGCCCGCTGGGGACTCAGATTGAGAGGGTCTGGAGACCTTTAGTCAAGACTTCAGACTGTTTAAGAACCTTCCGCTGAATAACTATCATAGAAACTGAACTTGGTAATTGCAATCCGGCTTAAATGCAGTCTAGGGGGAACCATATCCGGGTGACCTCTCTCGACTTGAAACAACCGTTTAACTTGCTTTGTGTTTTTGTTTGTTTGAACCTGCACTTAATTTTTACCGCTAGATAATAAGAATTCACTGAGTAGTCATCACATCTAGGACCCGGGTTGACATTAAAACCCAAACCCGCTATACTACGCTTTAGGAAGTGGTTTCACTTGGCCATTTTCTAGAGTGACAGTAGGAGTGAGTCAGCTCGCCCCTAAGTTCGCCAAAGAATTTTCTATCTGATGAGAACCGATGCAAAGAGGTATGGTGAAACTACCTGGATCGAGTTGCTTCTTGGGCAACCTGTTTAAGATGAAGGCTGAGCACTCCTCGCCTAGGGTGACATTGGCGAGGTCTTTGAACTTAAGCTTCTTGAAGAGAAACCCCTTGAGGTATCTTGAATACCTTGGCATGTGGGCCATTGCTTCAAGGAAGGGAATGTTAAGGTGGATCTTTCAGAGCATCTCCATGAAACCTCCACATTACGCTTCCAATATTTTTTGATGCACCCTCGTGGGAAAAGGTACGGGTGGCGTGTAATCAGCCACAGGTGATGGCGTCGGCGATGCCTTCCTCTCCACTCCTCTCTTTTCTCCCGATGTTTCCTCTTCTTCACCCTTGGGTAGAAGGTCTTCCTTCTCATTCACTTCTTCGGTAACGACCTCCGGAGTCACCTTCCCACTCCTCAAATGAGTTGCATTCACCCTGACATGATCCTTGGGGTTGGTAATGATTTGAGAGGGTAGGGCTCCCTTGGGTCTCTCGGTGAGGATCCCGGCAAGATTGCCGATTTTCACTACCAAGTTTTGGAGACTTGCTTGATGGCTTCGGAGTTCCGCCTCAACCGAGGTAAACTTGGAGGTTTCCACATCCATGAATTGTTGAATCTTCTCGAACTTCTAAGTGCTTGTACTCACAAAGGTGGTCACAAGGTCTTCAAGTTTAGAGAACTTGTCGACTTGTTGTTATTGTTGGAACCCTTGTCCATCTTGTGCTTGGTATGGTTGTGGAAAGTTTGAGTTTTGGAATTGAGGCCTTTGTTGGATGAGTTGGTCGAGGTTTATAGTTGCTCGTTGGAACTTGGAAACCGGGAGGTCTTGGATTGGAAGGAGAAGACCAAGCAAAGTTTGGATGATTGCGCCACCCGGGGTTGTATGTGTTGCTATAAGGGTTGTTCACTCTAGCACTGGCAATGAAACTCACTTGCTCCTCGGGGATACTTGTATCCTTCATCGCTTGGAAATCCATAATTTCATGATTAGTGCTCGAACACCAATCACAAGACATCACCGCTCTCTTCCCTTTCTTCTTGTCCTCAAGGATCACCTCGATCAACTTGTTAAGCTTCACTTCAAGTGGAGTACTTGCTCCTACACTTCGCACTCCTCTTTCGGTGCTTCTCTTCTCACTTCTTGTCAAGCCCCAATCATATCCTTTGAGAGCCATATCTTCGAGCAACTCGGTCACTTGAGGTGGGGTCATGTTCATCAACTTCCTCTTGACAAAGAGAGTCGATGAGAATCTTGTCATCTTGAATGACACCTCCATAGAAAGTCTCTATCAGAAATTGATCCTCAAATCCATGATGAGGGCATTGGAGGAAGTAGTCGGAGAATCTTCCCCATGCATCCCTCAATGTCTCATCCTCCTCTTGCTCAAAGTGAGTGATTTTCTCTCTCCACCCACTGTCTTGGAAGGAGAACAATATTGGTTCATGAAATTGATGAGTAAATCGTCCCAAGAGGTGATGGATAGAGCCGGATGGTTGTTTATCCATCGGAGTGCCTTCCCCGCCAAAGAATAGGGGAAAATCCTCAATCGCAATACCTCCTCGGGGACGCCAATTATCTTCAAGCTTCCCGCTAGCTCAAGAAAACTTTGGACATGCTCTCGTGGTGATTCATTGGCAAGCCCATGACAGTAGGCATTGTTTTGAATTATCTTCACAAGAGCGGGCTTGATTTCAAGGTTGTTGGCAGCCACGGGTGGATGTAAGATGGGAGATTGGATATCCGCCGCCCGTAGAGCCATGTAATAACCCATAGTCCTTGGCTCTTCCTCGGCTCCCACTTCAACATTTGGTGTTTGAA